TGGGATCCGAACCCTCGGCGGGAGCGCCGCCGCACTTCCCAAGCGGCGCACTGTAGCAGTGCACCACCGGGCCGGCCCTTTTTTTGCTATTATCCATCTTGAGTTGATTTTGTATATGGTGTGAGGTCAGGGTCCAACTTTATTCTTCTCCACACAGACATCCAATTGTTCTAGCACAATTTGTTGAAGAGATTATTCTTCCACCATTGAATGCTATTATCACCCTTGTTGAAAATAATTAGCCATAGATGTGTGACTTATTTCTGGACTTCTGATTCTATTCCTTTAATCTATTTGTCTGTCATTATGCCAGTTCCACACTGTTTTGATTACTCTAGCTTTGTAGTAAGTTTTAAAATTAGGAAGTGCGAGTCCTCTAACTTTGTTCATTTTCAATATTGTTTTGGTTATTCACGGTCCCTTGCGTTTCCATAGGAATTTCACAATAAGTTTGCCTGTTTATGTGAAAAAGGCAATTGGAATTTTGATAGGAATTGCAATAAACCTGTAGGGGAGTACTGCCATCTTAACAATATGAAGTTTTCCAATCCAAGTCTTTAAGTCTTCTCTAATTTCTTTCTACATTATTTTATAGTTTCCAGTATACAAGTCTTGTACTTCCTTGGTTAAATTTATTCCTAAGTATTTTATTCTTTTATTTTTTTTAAACATTTACTTGTACAGATTCATGGGGTAAAGTGTGTTGTTTCAATACATGCATATACTGCACAATGATTCACTTAGGGCACATTGCATACTTTTGTACCCATTAGTCCACCATATTTTATTCTTCTTGGTGCTATTGTAAATAAATTGTTTTCTTAATTTCATTTTCAATTGTTCATTTATAGAGGCTGGAAGAAGTTTGAGAAGCATGATAGAGAAGGCATAAATTGCTTTGAACAGACTGATTGTAGAAATCTGGACTTGGAGGACAATGCAGCGGACAGCTTAGAAGGAAATGAGGAACATGTTATTGGGAACTGGAGGTAGGGAGATGCTTGTTATTTAGTGGCAGAAAGCTTAGTGAAACGGTCTCCTGTGGTCATGTGGAAAGCAGAATTTGTTAAGTAATGATCTTTCAATCAAAGTGTTGAAGGTGAGGCCTGATTTTTTTCTTGCTGCTTACAATAAAATGCAAGATGAAAGAGATAAATTGAGGTAAAAACTGTTAAACAAAAAGAAACCAGGACTTGATGATTTTGAAAATTCCCAGTCTCTCTAAAGGGCAAAAGATGCTAATACTGGACAGTGTGTTCTAGAAAAAATGATCTTTTACTAATACCTCAGAAAGATGAAAAGTTAGAGTATTCACTCACACAAAGGGCCCTTTCAAGAAATCAAGGGTGTATCTCACAGGTCCTCTTATTCAAACCATATATAACCTTCAGGGAGCTTAGGGGCATTGTTCCTCAGACATCCAAGTAGGAGCCCAAGACAGCAAGGGGATTATCTGAAAAGATCTATGGGTGTGCCTTTTGTCTAACGTGGTAAACCCCACCGACATTCATGAGAAGCCACAAAGTTCTTGAGAAGATTATTTCAGCAGAAACACTGCCAACTCGGACAAAATGAAAGAGGCTGTCAGACACCCAAAATTTTACTAGCAAGAAGCAGCCTGATAAAACTAGTTAGCTGCAAACACATACTCTCATCAAAAAGAAAGGATGGTTCAGATGGTGAAACCAAGAACACAAAGGATGGAGCAGAGAGCTACAGAGGATTACGTCTAGATCTTGAAACTCAATCAAGGAACTCCCATATTTCCCAGCTGGATTTCAGAATTGCTATGGACCTTTTTAAAAAACAAAACAAAAACAAAAACAAAAAAAACCCTTCCATTTCCTCTCCTTTTTGGTTTCCTTGTTTTTACATTTTTTTTTCAGTAGCTGGCCGGTATGGGATTGAACTCTGGACCTTGGTGTTATCAGCACCATGCTCTCACCAACTGAGCTAATAGGCCAGTCCCTCCCCTGCTTTTTAACTGTAATGTCTATAACTGTTATCCTTTGCCTGTTCCACTATTGTATGTGGGTGTGTTAGGATCAGACAACTTGTCTCTAGTTTCACAAGTCTACAGATGGAGAAGAATTGTGCCCCAGGAACTGTACATCCGGGAATATTACCCACACCAGGACCTGATTTAGATGATAAAATTTTGGACCTCTAAGCTGATGCTACAATGGGATGAGACTCTTGGAAACCCTAGGAGGGAGCTGAATGTATTTTGCATGTGATATGATGTGAATCATTAGGGCCAGAGGGAGGACTGTGGTAGAGACTCTAAGATGGCCCCCATATGAGTCCTACCTCTTAATGGTCATGCCTTTGTGTAATTACTTCCCTTTGAGTATGGGCAGTACTTGTGACTTGCTTCAGAACAATAGATAACGGTAAAGGTGATGGATATCATCTCTATGATCATATTTTTTTTTTTTTGAGACTGGCCGGTATGGGAATCTGAACCCTTGACCTTGATGTTATCAGCACTACGCTCTCCCAAATGAGCCACTGGCCAGACTCTTCATGTTATGTTATAAGCTTCCATCTTGCTAGTCTCGGTCTTTCTTGCTGGGTTTGAAGAATAAAGCTGCCACGAATACTATAGCCACAAGTAACTGTATGCTTCCAAGAACCCACAAAAGGGGAAGTGGATCCTTCCCTAGCTGAGCCTCCACATGGGAACTCAGCCCTGGACAACACCTTGATTGCCAACAGTGTGAAATCCTAAGCAGAGGACTAGCTAAGCTGTTCCTGGACTTCTGACTCACAAATGTGTGAAATAACAAATGTGTATTGTTTAAAGATGCTAAGTTTGTGATAAGTTGTTGAACAGCATAGAAAAACCTATATAATAATTATTAATGACTTAAATATATATCTAACCATATAACCCAGCCATTCCACAACCACAAATTAATCCAAGAGAAAAATAAATATATGACTCCAAATTCTTGTACACAAAAGCTGTTCATAACAGCTTTACATGTAATAGCCCAAAGCTGAAAACAATCCAAATGTCCATCATCAGATGAATGAATAAACAAACTGTGGTATAATGGACTACTACTTAGCAACAAAAAGGAATATATTATTGATGTACACAATGACATGGATGAATCTCAAAATAATTATGCTGAGTGAAAGAAGCCAGACAAAAAGAATACATATGATTCCATTCACATGAAACTACAAAATGCATACAAACCTATACTGACAGCAGGTCATTCCTTCCATGTGGCTTCTTTCACTCAGCATAATGATCACTTGGGGATGGGGGGCCCGGCAGGGGCAGGAGGGAGGGACTATAAAGGGCATGAACTTTTAAGGGTGATGGATATGTTCACTATATTGACTGTGGTGACAGTTTCATGGGTGCATACATAGGTTAGAACTTATAAAATTGTATATTTTAAATATGTGTAGTTTATGGTATGTCAATTATTCAATAAAGCAGTTTGAAAATGTATGACACTACAAATGGTTTTTCCTCACAAATCAACATATTCAAAGAGAAAGCACAAGCTCTGTTTAACTATCATAGACTAGGCCTTGTTATACATCCACTCATTCTCAAATATTTACTAAATATCTGTTAGTTTCTGTGGGAAATATAAGCATGAATCAGACTCACTGTGGTACTGTGATATGGTAATAAATACATATTTAGTCTCTGCCCCTGGTTTCTGGCACATAGCTCCTAAAACCCTTGGAATTTCCAAAGTGGTAAGTGTCTTTTTGTATGCTAATGGCATGACTGATGGTTGGGGCTCCTGGATAGTCTCAGGATGGGGGAGCTGACTGCCTGGAGAACCAACCACATGATTAGAAGGTTGGAACTTTCAGTCCCACCCCTATGTCCACGGAGGGAAGAAAGGCTGAAGGTTGAGTTGATCACCAATGACCAATGATTTAATCAATCAAGCCTCCATAAAAACCCAAAAGGGGGGCCTGCTGGTTAGATCAGTTGGTTAGAGCATTGTGTTATAACACCAAGGTCAAGGGTTCAAATCCCCATTCAGGCCAGCCCTATGCTCAGCCCTCTTCCATCTGTTTGTTCATCTGTATCCTTTGTAATATCCTTTATAATAAACCAGTAAACATCAGAGTTTCCCTGAGTTCTGTGAGCTGTTGCAACCCAAGGAGGAAGTTGTGGGCACCATGATTTATAGCTGGTTGGTCTGAAGCATAAGTACCAGCTTGGGGCTTGCAACTGGAGTCTGAAGTGGGGGACAGTCTTGTGGGACTAAGCCCTTAACCTGTGGGATCTGGCCCTATCTCCAGGGAGAAAGTGTCAGAATCGAACTGAATTCTAGGAGACCCAATTAGTGTCTGCTGGACAACCTGGTGTCAGAATTGCTGGGTGTGTGGGGAAAAACCCCTACACATCTGTTGTCAGAAAGTGTGATGTGTGAGAGTAGGAAAAAACACTTTGGTTTTTCCTCTCTGTCATTCTCACCTTTTGCCCTAATGAAGCATATAATCTATGTTATATATAATGTAAATATATAGAGATATTATATATAGATATATAGAGAGAAATATAATATAGGTCAAGGTTTCGAAATCATAAACAATTATTTTTTACATTGTTTTCACAGAGATCCTTACCAGAAGCAAATCCTTCCCAGTGACTATGTGTCAACTGCTCCATACAGCCCACAACTGTGCTCCACACGTTATCAAACACATAAGCAAGGACATCCTCTTTCATGCAGTAAAATGGAGCAATAGGAGGATACCCTAATTTCTGTTTCTCTGTAGCTGCTTCTGATTTCTTTCCATGAAATCCCTCTTCTCTGTAACAGAAGCAAGAGAGAAAGACTTCATGATTATTCTTCACTGAGTGTCCAACACTGTCTCTTGTGCTTCTTAGGAGTGTGATTGGTCTCCCTCCCACCCCCACCCCCTTTGCCCAGCATATGTGGCACATGCATGAAGCTGCCTTGTGGAATAAGGGAGTTATTAACAGAGGAGACTATATTTCCCTTTTTACCCCCACCACACCCCACTACTCTGCCAAAAAATAGAAAAAGAAAATGAAGTCTGAGAATCATGGCATGTTTCTTAGCTTTAAACAGATGATCACTGTCAATTGATCAACAAGGTATGACACTTATGTGTACAGAAATAATCTTTTTGTTGTAATTGGATAAAATTTAGATTAACACTAATGACATTTAATGATGTGCATGTAACTATGATTATGCTGCATACTTATTTGACACAATGATTCATTAGGGAAGCATTCCACATAAATTATTAAAATTAGTATACTTTTACTAAGGCAAACAAGCATTTGGCAATTGGCTGAAAAGGAAAAGGAGGGGCACTAAACAGCACAGAAGCTCCTCTGAGGCTCTTCTGGAGACCCCTGTGTCTGTCACCCAGAACCTCCCAGTTAGTCAAGTCTATCTCTGCTTCTCTGGCAAGGAGTACCAATAGCCCTGGAGTTCTGTGGGAAAAAAGTCTAGCTGATAGCCATGCTCACCTATAACAGATGTATTATAAACTAAGACAAAGCAAGTTCTGGAACTAGCTCGGAATGGGGAGAAATGTCTCCAGGCCTCTACAGTGAAAGTTACCCCTTGGGCAGCAGAAGTCTCAAGAATTAAATAGGACACTGTAGGGAGGAAAGAAGGATGAGAAGAGGTTTATGAAGGGCAGCTACAGACTCTCTTCTCTGCCTTCCCAAGGAAGAGCTGGCCTGGCATTAAGTGGGGGAAGTAAGCTGATTAGTATTAGTTGTACTTAAATGTATATTTCTCTTTAGAAGAGAAAACACATTCATGTGATGAAAAAAATTCAAATTCTAAAGAAGGACATATAGTGAAAAAGAAGTCTTCCACATCTCTGTCCCCCAGTCCTCATCCCTAGAAGCAAATATTATACAGGGGTACTTCAAAAAGTTTGAGGAAAAAATTGAATTAAAAGATAATAATATGAATCCTTCCATGAGCTTTTTAAAGACCCCTTGTACTTCGTTCCAGATAAATAGTTGCATTATACACTGGATTGCACCTTGTTCTTTTATTTAACAATGTAACTTGGCCCTTGATCCCTATCAATACATACTAATTTGCCTCTTAAAAAATAGCTGCAGGGCTGGCCCGTTGGCTCACTTGGGAGAGTGCGGCGCTGGGAGCGCAGCAGTGCTCCTGCTGCGGGTTCGGATCCTATATACGGATGGCTGGTGCACTCACTGGCTGAGCGCAGTGCGAGTGACACCAAGCCAAGGGTTCCATCCCCTTACCGGTCACATAAAAAAAAAAAAAAATAGCTGCAGAGTATTCCATTGGATATATCATAATATATCTAACTAGCTCATTATTGATCAACCAATCTTTTGCTATTATAGTCAATACTGCAATTAATAACCTTGTACATAGTTCTGTTACTTTGTGGGTGATTATATCTGTAGAATAAATTCCTATAAATAGAATTACTGAGTTAAAGGGTATATGCATTTTAATTTGAAAGATATTGCACAATCTCCTCTAAAGAGGTCGTATGGTCCAAAGGTGAAAGAATATGCCTGTTTACCCTCTCAAAGAATTATCAAACTTCTCTTTTGTTTCTGTCAATCAGACAGATAAAACAGTATCTCATTATAGTTTTAATTTTCATCTCTAGTGGCAAATGAGGTTGAATTTCATTTCATATGTTTAAAATCCATTTTCTTTTTATGTGAATGGACTGTTTATGTCCTTTACCTGTTCTGTCCTCAGTCTTTTCCTTATTTGTGTACATATTAAAGAAAATAACTCTTTGTCTATGAAGGAACTAAAAATATCTTTGCCTAGTTTGTCATCTGTTTTTTGACTTTATGAGTTTTTTCTATGTAGATATTTCATCTTATGCAGTCATTTAAGAATTGGTCAGGGCCGACCCTGTGGCTCACTCGGGAGAGTGCGGCACTGGGAGCGCAGCAGTGCTCCTGCCACGGGTTCAGATCCTATATTGGGATGGCCAGTGTGTTCACTGGCTGAGTGCAGTGCGGGTAACACCAAGCCAAGGGTTCCAATCCCCTTACTGGTCCAAAAAAAAAAAAAAAAAAAAAAGAATTGGTTATATGATTTGTAGGTTTTGTGTTATGGTTAAAAAGGCCTTCTTCATTCCCAAAGTATTTTTTTAAAAAGGTCTTCCATATTTTATTTTCTTCTACATTTATATGATTTGTCACATTTAAATTTTTATATGTGTGGAATTTATTTTTATAGAAAGAAGTAGTTAGGCAATTAATTCTTTTTCCAGATGGTTTTTCCATTTGTACCAAAATCATTTGCTGAATTACTGCATCTACTAATGTCCTATAGGTCTTTTGGTTTATTTTTTTATTTTTTATTTTTGGTAGCTGGCCAGAATGGTTTATTTCTCAACAATCAATCTTTTCAATTAGGAACATTTTAAAGATCCAACTACTCTGCTCTCTTATGACAAGATATCTTGGTGATATCTCTAAAGGGAAGGCTGCCTTTCTAAAAATCTTCCCATATTACCTGACATTTTATTTGGGTTTATTATAAGAAAAAGAGAAAGAGATGCCCATGGGGACACCTATCAGCCATTTAAATCACATTTTTGGTTAAATCAGTTTTTATTTTATATTATTAAACCAGGGGAGAAAACCTTTGATTTGACAAAAAAGAGCAGATAGAAATAATTCGACACAGGCCAAGAGAAGTGAAGGGGAAAGGGGCAGTCTTGGGAAAAGCAAAAAAAAACTACTTAATTCTCTTGTAACAGTACATTAGCTCAGCAGTGTTATGTGTAGAAATCTGGCTTATGTTTAGCTGGCACTAGGGCTGAGTGAACATGTGAGTGAACACGGCTCAGTAAGAGACATGATGGGAAGAAGAGAAGTCCAGAATCATGTGACACAATACTAACTAGGCCTAACCACAGTCTCACAGCCTAAATTGGAATTCTCCCTCTTTTGCAGATGTGCTGCTATAACCAACAATTCTGGAACTTTTAAAGGATTAGAGGAATAGTTTGAGATGTAATGTTTCAGAAAAGTATCACGGAATAGTGAAGAGAGCACTGGATTGAGAATTAGATGAATAAAGTTCTGGTTTTAGCTTTATCTCAGACAAATCATCTAACCACTCTGATTTTCATCTACCCTGTAAAGAAGGTAAACTATATCTTTGTCATAAGACTACTGGCAGAATACAATAAGAATACATATAAATAAGCATTATTAATAATAAAGTTTGTATGAAGCATAAGGTTTTATATAACCTGTATATACTTTTTTCCAGCAAGACTTATGTAAACAAGGTTCAGAACTCATCAACTGCTCTTTTTAAAAGTTTCAGTTTCCACTGGTGGTAATTTGCAAAAGGGTAAAAACAAATGATGTGGAGAAAAAAATTAACTAATTTTAAAATCTCTAATCTCAGAAAGGTGCGAATGGTGTGTGAAGGAAGAAAATACACAAGGAAGCCTAGTATGTGAAAGTAATAACTAGGAACATGACCTCTGGATACCTGAGAAGTAACAGAAAACAAATAATAGAAACTAGCATAGATCTAATTATGGGTAATATGGGTAGCACGGTTTATAAAAATATATATATTAATGCACAAAATAGGAAGGGAATAAAAAGCTTAAAAGACATAATACTCACATATCTGTGTGATCAAATGCTAGGTATTCCTCGATTATTCCTTCTGAGATTATACAATCTTCCTCTTCTCTTTCCATGGAACAAAAACGACAGGATTTGTCAATGGAAGATGCTTTATGAGTATAAGAAGATGAGAAATGTACCTTCTTTCCCCTTATACCAAGTCTGGGAGAGGGAAAAAGAGCAAATATTAATTATATACAGCATAAACAGTTCTTATGGCAACAGTCACGTGAGTTTTGGCTCAAACACCCTTGCCCTGCCAACACTTTCCTGGACTATTCTAAGCCTTAATAACCTATTATATTTCAGAACAGGAAGATTAAATACTGGCCATAGACCCATTCTGCTAATGTGCACTATGCACTATTTGGCTTGCTATCTTTTCAGATGCAAACAGCTATAGCTATAATATAAGTTTTTAAAAACCTAAGAATATTTACATTCATAATTTCTTTGGAGATGAAATCCCTAAATGGACCTACTATATACAGTTATAAAATAAGGTACATACAAAGTTCATACTAACAGACCAGGTAAATATATCCTAATGACAGGATATGAATTATGTAATTTTGGTTAGAGGGAATTAAAGAATACATCATTTCTGTGGGAGATATTAGGTTGTTAAAATTTTTAATTTATGTAAAAGGAGTAAACTTAAAAAGACTTATTGATGTAATACATGAGGCTTAAATTTAAAAAGAGAGCCTAATGACCAGCAGCTTGAGTTTAAATCACTTTGAGAAAAGCAAACAAATCCCATTCTCTGACCAAAAATCAGGTGATAACCCAGCTCCTGTAACCCTAACTGGTTTAAGACAGTATATTTTACTTTGTGGTCTGGTAAGATTACCACAAGCCCAAAAAGGCACCAAAAGCAAGTAGTACCACAACTCTTGGAAGGTATCAAATAAGTAAAACTACAGCCTTAGGAAAAAGTATAGGAATAATTTAAAACTATGATATATTTTACAATGGATTTACGTATACATATAGATTTCAAAATGATTCTATTTGTGTTTATTTTGCCACTGCTTAAAGAGTTTGAGGTGCTCAAAAGATTTACCATTTAAAAATTATTTTGAAGTTTAACTTCTTTAAAAAGATTAAGTTGGAATTAATATTACATGTTTTTCTTTTTAATGTTACATGTTTTTGGTTTTTTTGGGGTTTTTTTGGCAGCTGGCCAGTACAGGGATCTGAACCCATGACCTTGATGTCATTAGACTGTTCTAACCAACTGAACTAACCTGCAAGCCCTTTAATATTACACATTTTTAAAAAATCACTTTTTCAACATTTTTTTCAAAAAATATTTTGAGGTATGTTTCTTAGACCCCTGACTTTTTAAAAACTATTTTATCTACCCATTTATTCCAAGAAGGAAGTGCCTGTATTTATAGATATAGATACATACAGATATAGTTATATACATCTGAATAACAAAATATCCTTAAACTCTAGGAAATGTCTTATTTTTTGAACAAAAAAATTATATAACAAAATTTTAATATACACAAGACTAGGGCCAATCTTAGGGAATTTGCTGTACTTAACTAAATACCAATAAGTAGGAAGTACAAGGATAGCTCAAAAAGTTTGTGAAAAACAGAAATAAAAGATAATATGAATCTTTTCATGAACGTTTTGAAGTACCCTTGTATTTTAATCTCTCAGTACAACTGGTAGAATATAATACTTGTATATTAGGACACCAAAATACATAATAGAATACTTACGTAGTAGAATCTCTTTCTTGAGACAAGGCTGCTTCATGTGAAGATGACACAGTAGAAGGAGATCTAGGATACAATCCATAACCTTCACATGGAGTGATTATCTGCCTACCCAGAATCCTTCAAAATGAAGAAACAATGACATAATTAAGCACCCTCACCCAGTGTATATACAAAACCTACATATTTTTGGAACAAATTTGATGGCTCTACATAAAAGCCCAGTATACACTTAGTCTGATACTGATTAAGAATAATTCAAGAAAGAAAGAAAGAAAGAAAGAGAAAAAAGAAAGAAAAACAACAATCATAATAATACATCGAACTTTCAAAAGGAGGGAACAGAACTGTGCTTATGAGAGGTGGGAAAGGGAGAGGAAGAGGGGGGTTAGTGAGAAATTGGTTAAGGGTTACAAAGAATGATTAGGTTTTGTATTGATGAGTTTAAATTTTATCCTGATTTGATCATCACATATTGTACCTGTTATAGATATGATATTCAACTCTGTATGCCACAAATATGTATAATAAATTATGTTTCGATAAAAAGAAATAAATAAAAGTAAAAGTAAAAAATAAAAACAAAAAACAACAAAAAAAGAATAATTCTTGGGTTGGCCCATTAGCTCAGTTGGTTAGAGTGCAGTGTTTTGGATCCCTGTATCGGCCAGCTGGCAAAAAAATAAAATAAAAATAAAAAATAATTCTTGAGAGAAAATGTGAATCCAGAGCCTTACTACAGGTGTATCTCTCCTCCACAGTACGGAGATGGAAAAGATAAAATTATAGCCTAGGAGTTAAAGAAAAAAAAACCCAAGGAAACTGAGAAAACATCTGTAATTTGCCCTCCATCTTATTTAATAATCCTCATTAAATTAGCCAAAACAGGATGAAGGCCCAGCCAAATTAGTGAAAACTATGAATTATATTCTTAAGAACAAGAAGCTTTATGATTTTAATGTATATTGTTTCTGAGGGAAGCCCTGAACAGCCTGTGTCTGTTTTCAAGTATACATAAGAATTTAACTATAGACTACTATGTAAACAAATACATTTTCTGACCATCTTGTCCAAAAGGGCTCTTAGGGTAGCCATGATACTCAGACCTCAGCTACTGGTAGAGAAATTGTTTTACTAGATTAGGATAACATATTGGTAGTTTTGTAAACTCCCAGAAATTTCCATCAATTTGAGTTTCCTCTCAGCTGAGGCTTTACACCACATGGTCTTATACACATTCATTAAAATTGTGCCCATAAAGATTTCGGAATACTAGCTTTTTGGGAAATCTACTTTTAAAATTTTAGTATTGGGCTGGCCCGGTGGCACACTGGAGAGTGCGCCGCTTGGGAGTGTGGCGGCGCTCCCGCTGAGGGTTCGGATCCCATGTGGAGACCGGTTCCCGCTCACTGGCTGAGCGCGGTGTGGGCACAACACCGAGGGTTGCAATCCCGTTACCGGTCAGTAAAAAAGACAAAAAGGAAAAAAAAAATTTTTAGTATTAAGAAAATAATAAAAAATAAAGTAAAATTTTAGTATTAGCCATGAATTCAAGTCAACTGTAGGGCTTCAATACCTGAGGTGAGGAAAGCTAGATGTCCATTGTTGGCACTCTTCTTGCAGACTCTTTGTACGCACACTCAACTTCTGCTCATACAAGAGCTCATCAATGGCTGTGAACATTGCTTGGACTTTTTCAGTGGCATTTTGATCAAGTTCCTAGAAGAAAATATCCCCCCAAAATATTTAGGTGAGCTTCATTCTCTGTTACAAATTACAAAGATTGAAACCAATCAGATTTTATTCTGTTTTAAATATTTAGTCCACTTGAAATACTGTTGTGTTTCCATGAAAGAAAAGTTAATCAGTTTTCACATCTCAAAGAATTTTCAGATGTACTCTCTATTCATATTTAAAGAAAATTTATAAAAATATTAATTTTTTAAAAAGTAACATTTTCTTTATCATATAAATACTATGTATTGTAAACATTTTGAAAAATACAGCGAAGTATAAAGACAAAAATTAAAATTACATGTAACTCCACCACTCAAAGATAATAATTGCTAATTTTAGTATAGTTGCTTGGTTCCAGTATATTTTTAGAGCAAAAGGTAGACAGATAATCTTGTACATATTATTGTATTCTGCATATTTCACTTGACAATTTATGTTACAACCTTGACTCCTGTTATCCATCCTTTAAAATCAGTCAGAGGGATGGCTATAAAATGCAAATCTGATCATGTTATCATATTATCTGATTCCCTACTTACCCTCTAGTGCATATTCTTTTAAAAGCATAAGATGAGAGGGCCGGCCCGGTGGCGCACTGGATAGTGCGCCGCTTGGGAAGCGCGGCGGCGCTCTCGTCCGAGGGTTCGGATCCCACGTGCAGACCGGCTCCCGCTCACTGGCTGAGCGAGGCGTGGGAGCAACGCCGAGGCTTGCGATCCCGTTGCCGGTCCCGGTCCGGTACGGGGGCAACACTGAGGGTTGCAATCCGTTGCCGGACACGGAAAAAAGAAAAAAAAACACACAAAAAAAAAAAAAAAAAAAAAAAGCATAAGATGAGAGCTATGTATTTTCACTCTAACAATGAAAGTCAGCTTCTACCCAATACATATTTTATCTATCTGCCTAGGAGTGTTTTTTTTTTGAATTTGTTCTTCACTTGGTATGCTTTTTCAACCTTTCTTCCATTTTAAAAAAAAAAAATTAGTGATTATTTCGTTGAATATTGCCTTTTTCCCATTCTCTTTCTAAAACTTCTGTTAGAAGTATATTACAGCTTCTTAATCTATCTTCTTTGTCTTCTTTTTTTTTTTTGTCTTTTTCCGTGTCCAGCAACAGATCGCAACCCTCAGTGTCGCCCCCGTACCAGACCGGGACCGGCAATGGGATCGCAACCCTCGGTGTTGCCCCCGCGCCTTGCTCAGAGCGGGAACCGGTCTGTATGTGGGATCCGAACCCTCGGCGGGAGCGCCTCCGCGCTTCCCAAGCGGCGCACTAGCACAGTGCACCACCGGGCCGGCCCGTATCTTCTTTGTCTTCTAACTACTCTTCAAATTCTCAGCTCTCTGGTTCTAGGTGATTTTCTTAGTTTTATCATCAATTCACTACTATTCTGTTTCACAGGGTCCAGTTTACCTTATCTATTGAAATATTTCAAATGCTATTCATTTTCAAGATTTTTAACTGGTTCTTCTTATCTGCCTGTTCTTTTCGAGGGGGCAGCTGGCCAGTATGGCGATCAGAACCCTTGACTTTGGTGTTACCAGCACCACTCTCTACCAGCACCACTCTCTGCCGTGAGCTAACTGGACAGCACTGTTCTTAAATTGAGATCTTTCCCTGCTTTGCCTTAGAATCTCCAATAATTGTAATGGATGCTATCTTGTCCTTTAATTCTTTGAGGATTTAAGAATTTTAATGAACTTTATTGAGGAATAGTTTACATACAATTAAACAGGTGGATCTGCCATGTCATGTAAATGTACGTTTAAGGCTTAAAAAATGACTAAACTATCGCAAAATGGATATACAATTTAGCACTACCACCAGAAATATGTGAGCATTAATCTTGTTCCACACCTTTTCTAATACAAGGCATAGTCAGTCTTTTTAGTTTTAGCAATTTTTTTGAGTGTGAAGTGGTATATGTTGACAGTTTTAAATTTGCATTTCCCTGATGATTAATGATATTAAGTATCTTTCTACATGTTACCTGGCCGTTTGTATCTTATTTCACAGAATGTGTGTGTTCCAGTTTTTTCTCGTCATTTCAGCTGGTTTGTTTTTTTTAACAGGGAGTTTTAAGACCTCTTTAGATATTTTGGATACAAATCTGATGTATTTATTGCAAATATTCCCTCCCAGTCTGTGGCTTCTGCTTTCATTTCTTAATGGTGTATTTGAAAGCACAAAATATCTTAATTTTGATAGAGTCAAATTTATCCATTTTTTTTACACATTTTGGTGATTTTGGTATGTTGTATCTATGAACTTGTTGCCTAACCCAAGGTCAGATTTTCTTGTACGTTTTCTTCTAATGGATTTATAGTTCTTGCTCTTAAAGTTTACAATTCACTTTGAGTAAATTTTTTGTACGATGTGAAGTAAGGATCTGAATTCATCTTTTTTGCACATGGATTGTCTCAGCAACATTTGCTGGAAAAAATAAAAAATCCTTTCCCTATTGAACTGTCTTGGCACCTTTGTGAAAAATCAGGTGACCATAAAGGTTTATTTTTGGACTCTCCATTCTGTTCTGTTGCTCTATATGCCTATCTTTTGTTAGTACCACACTGTTTTAATTACTGTAGCATTACATTAAGTTTTGAAATGTGATGGTGTAAGCTGTCTAATTTTCTTCTTCTCTTTCAAAATGTTTTGACTAATTTGGATCCTTTACAATTCCATATCAATTGGGTGGGGACATGGGGTACAAAAGTAGTTTCTGGTAACGGGTATGCCCCCAGTATGAATTTAAAAGAAATTAAATTAGCAATTAAAAATCCTCCAACAAAGCAAAGCCCAGGCACAGATGGGCTAGTAAATTCTATCAAATATTTAAAGAAGAAATAATAATAATCTTTCATAAACCTTCAGAAGATAGAAAGAACACTCCCCAATTCATTCTGTAGGGTAAGATTACCCTGATATGAAATCCAAAGATATCGCAAGAAAAGAAATCCATACTTAAAAGATTCTAAAGAACACACACACACACACACACACGCAGAAAAAATATTAAAACTGATACATGAGTTAAGGCCACAAGATACAAGGTCAATATACAAAACCAAATATACTTCTATATATACTTAAATATTTAAAGAAAAAATAATACCAATCCTTCACAAACTCTTTCAGAAGAGGAAACAGTTCCCAACTCATTCTGTGAGGCCAGTATTACCCAGATACCAAATTCAGACATCACAAGAAGAAAAAACTATATACCAATATCCCTCTTGAAATTAGACACAAACACTTTAAATTATTAACAAAACAAATCTAGCAACATAAGGCGATTATTTACCCTGACCAAGTGGGATTTATCCTGGAAATGCACTGCTGGCTCAACATTAGAATATCATTTAATTTAATACATTATAGTAATAGAAATAAAGGACAAAAATGACATGATTATCTTAACAGACACAGAAAAGCATTTGACAATCTAATACCCATTCATGATAAAAACGCTCAACATACTAGAAATAAAAGGGAAGTTCATCAACCTGACAGAGGGCATCTGTGAAAAACTTAGATCTAACATTATATATAATGAGAAAAGACTGAATATTTCCCCATAAGATCAAGAACAAGGTAAGGACGTCCACTCTTGAGAGCTTGTTTGGAGGTTCTAGCAGGGGAGCGCAGCTACTCGTATACCCTTGACCGAAGAACGGTCCTCTCCTCTAGCGGGGAAGGTCGTCCTCTTCGACCGAGCGCGCAGCTTCGGGAGGGACGCACATGGAGCGGTGAGGGAGGAAGGGGACACCCGCCTAGCCAGCCAGATCAGCCGAATCAACCCTGGCGATCAATGGGGTGACAGATGTCGCAGCCAGATCGCCCTCACATCCAGGACGTCCACTCTTGCCACTTCTATTCAGCATTGTACTGAAGGTTCTAGGTAGTGTGATAAGACAAAAGAAAATAAAGGCATCCAAACTGGAGAGGAAGAAATAAAACTGTCCTTGTTCACAGATGGCATGAAGTAGAAAATCCTGAAAAATTCACACTCCCTCTACCCCTTTGTCCCCCAAAATGTACTAAAACTAATAATTCAGGAAGGTCGAAGTTATCAAAACCAGTTTAAAAAAGGGGTTTTCATACAATGCAATATTATCCAGCCATAAAAGGAAAGAAGTACTGATACATGGTACAACTAGGATGAACCTTGAAAACATTATGCCAAGTGAAAGAAGCCAGACATAAAAGATCACATATTGTGTGACTCCACTTATGTGACATGTCCAGAAGAACAATTCCATAAAGACAGAAAGTAGATTAGTAGTGGCCAGGAGCTGGGCAGAGAGAGGAATGGGGAGTGATTACTAACCACTTTTGGAAGTGATGAAAATGTTCTAGGAGTGATGGTTGCACAACTGTGAATATATTAAAAGACACTGAAGGATGAATTTCATGGTATTGGGATTATATCTAAATTTTAAAATCTTTTGCATTTCTACACATTAGCAGTGAACAATTTGAAAATGAAAATTAAAAATTCATAGTAGAATAAAAAAATCAAATTCTTAGGAGTAAGTTTAACAAAAGCAGCACAGACTGAAAATTTCAAGACATTGCTGAAATTAAAGAAAATATAAATAAATGAAGACAAGTGGAAGACTAAATACTATAAGATGCTATTTCTCCTGAAATTGGTATACATATCAGTGCATTCCCTATAAAAATCCCAACAGACTTTTTTTTTTTCAGAAATTGGTATGGAATTTTTTTTATTATTATTAAGAATATTCATGAGATACAAAGCTAATTGTCACCCCTCCTGCCCATGATGTGAGGGCCAGATTCATACTTACTATGGATCTATTTGGATTTTTAATTTCTCTTCAAGTCAATTTGGTAGTTTGAGTCTTTCTAGGAATTTTTCCATTACATCTAAATTATCTAATTTCTTGGCATGAAGTTGTTTATTGTATTCCCTTAGTCCCTTTACTTTCTATAGCATTGGGTTATGTCCCCTCTTT